CTAAATGAATCTTGCATAACTTTGAGAAAGTGAATGTGTGAGACAAGTGTTACAAATGCTTCACTGAGTATAGATAAGTGAGTGATCTTATATTATACTTTACACACTTCAGCTTACACTATCTTGTGTTGAATGAAGAACTTTTAACATCTTTCTGTTTACAGATCTTCATTCATGATCTTACATCTGAGTTGAGAGTGAAATGAAAATGCTTAATCTCATAGTCAGACACAGTGAAGAAAGCATACAACATTCTCATTATACAGAAATAAGTGAGTCAATTATGACAGAAAATACTGCAATCAAGTATGTCTCAGTGAAGAATAAGTAATCAGACTTCTATAACACAAGTCACACACTCAAATGTGATGAATCTAGATCTGAATATCATTGCTAAAGCACTGAATCCTCTGAAAAAGAAATCCCCTGAGTGAAAACCTTGATGTCATGAGTATTGAGCTTGTTTCAACTGCAGATGTCAAAATCATGATGTAAAAGATTACACTCAGTGTGCACAGTTAAAAAACTAGCAGAATCAGTGAGCTCAGAGACACTCACTGATATTCTATGAAAAGTCTTCAAAGTGAAAGAGATGCCTGTATTAGATGATTCTCTGAATTCTGTGAATGTAAAGAAGAAGCAGGCTTCTGACTGAGATGTAAGCAAGGAAGTGAACACTCATCTCAATGCCTTGAGACCTGAAATGTTAATGTATAAGAAGCACTTGAATAAGAATTGAGAGGTGGCTGCAAAAGTATTAGCAGACACAGAAGCTTCTACATAATATATTAATGATTATATAATTCAAAGATTGAAAGAGGTTCATCAAGTGAAGAATCTCTGATGTATAAGATTATCTGATAACTGATATTTGATATCACCTGCAAGAGTAAGAGTTCCCTTGCACTTCAGAGAATGATCTTGCTATATTTGAGTGTGAGAGCTGCAGAATGTGAAATACAATCTTATTCTCAGACTTGATTGATTTCAAAGGTTCAATCTGCAGATTCAATGATGTACATGTCATATACAGTTGACTGATAGAAAGAAAATGATTCATATAATTCTATCAACTGATATGAGAAGAACATTTCACATCTCTGATATAGAAGAATTAAATCTGCTTACACATTAACAAGTAAAGAGAATGATTTACAAGACCTCATCTGAAAGCATTCTGTATATCATACAGGACTCAGAAGCAGAGAAAATCAAGATAAAGAATATGCAGAAGAACAAGCATATGAAGAAGCTTCTGAAGAAGTATAGAAAGATCTTCTGAACAGATCTTTCACTGAAATTGCTGCCAGAACAAGGATTTGTACATGAGATTGACACAGAGAACACAAAATCAGTCAATCAGAATGTGTACTCTCTGTCACAAATGCATCTTGAAGAACAGAAGTGTCAGATCACAGATCTTCTAGAACATGATCTCATACAATTCTCATCAAGTGTGTGAGGCTTTCCAGTCCTATTCATGAAAAAGACAGATGAAGAGTGATGAATGTGTATTGATTATTAAGCACTTAACAAGCTTATAATCAAGAATGAATATTCACTGTCATGAATTCAATAATAGTTAAATACAGTTGAAAATGTCTGATATCTATTGAAGATTGATCTTCTCTCAGAATACTGACAGATCTGTGTAGATGAACTATCAGTCTCATGAACTGTGTTTAATATGCAATGAGAAAAGTTTAAATTTCTGACAATGTCATTCAGTCTGACAAATGTGCCTGTCATCTTTCAAATGATAATGAATATAATTCTTTATAAACAGAATAAAATCTCATGTCTCATATATCTTGATAATATTCTAGTCTTTTTCAACTCATACAATGAACATCTGAAGCATCTTAACAAAGTGCTTACAACTCTGACAGAGTATAAGCTCTATGTCAAATCAATCAAGTATGTGTTTGAAATGAAAGAGTTGAAGTTTATGAGATATATAGTAAGTGATGACTGTATACATCTCATTCTGAAGAAATTGAATGTCATAGCAAATTAGCTGCAGCTGAGAAATGTACATTATGTATAACAGTTTCTTGAGTTGGTCTCATACTACTGCAGGTTCATCAAGAATTTCATATAAATATCTGTATCACTCTCAGATCTCTTAAGAGAAACAGATGCAAATCTGTGAAAGAAGAAGTTTTATTCAATTATCTGAAATACTGTGTGTGAAGAGGCTTTTCTCACACTAAGAGAATGTGTAATAACATCTTCAGTGCTTATTTAATCAGATTGTAATAAATCTTTCTACATTGAGATGAATGTATCTGAATGAGCTATCAGAGGCACTCTTCTACAGATGAGTAAGAATGACAAGCTGCATCTGATGATGTACAATGATAGGAAACTATCAGATGCTGAGCTCAATTACTCAGTGCATGAAAAGAAATTGCTAGTGATTAAGCACACACTGATGTTGTGAGATAGATATATTAACAACAGGCATATGACAACAGTGATCATGAATTATAAAAGCCTTGTCTATCTACAATCAATGATAAAACCTTTCAAATACTTAGTATGTTGAATCTCAGAGTTTCAAGTGTATGATCTTCATATCAAATACTGAAAGGAATTGAACACAGTGATATCTAACACAATCAGTCACAGACTCAATTTCATGAATAAGAGTTCTGTGAACCAGGTATAAGATATGTTCACATTAAACACACTGAGAGGATGCAAGGAATCAGAATGAGTGAATGTCATGATCTCTTACTTGAAGAATGACAAGGTGTCAGATATCAAGTGTCTCATGAAAGTAGTAGAAGAGATGCTTTCAAACTTCAAGCTGAGGAAATTAGAAAACAATGTTATGCTTTACTGTGATCTAGAATACACAGAAGCTTCCTATCTAGAATCTTCATTTTGATGTAACTTAGTGACTCACATGCACAAGGAATTCAGTCACTTAGAAAGTTCTGAACTCATGAGTGTACTCAAATCAAGAGTGTACTGATCAAGCATGGCTGAGAACATTCAGATGTATGCTCATAAGTGCTTGAATTGCCAGGTTGTGAAAGAATCTAAGAAAGAGTTAGAATGTGAGAAAGTGTAACATCAGATGAAGTGTACAATACAACTGTTTAAATGATGAGAAGTAAACCTCATAGCCATATTACTGTGAATGTCAAATGAAAATCAATGAATAATCACTGCTATTAACTACACTACTGACTGACCAGTTATAAAAGCAGTTTCAGAGGTGACAGAGAAGATGATGACAAAGTTTCTACATGATAAGATCTATGTTAACTATGAAATGCTGCATGAGATTCTAACTGATAACAGTGTGAATCTTATGAGAGAAGTAATGAGGCATTTCATGAGCCAGTTACAGACAAGATATCATAGAACAATATCATATCATCTGCAGATGAACAGAAAGATGGAATACTTGAATGAAATCTTGAGCAACATGCTGATGAAATATCTAGTGAGTAAGCCTATGAGACTATGAAATGAATATCTCAGACAGGTGCTATTGACCACACAGATTTGACAGTATGCAGTCTTCAAGTGTTCATCATTCTACCTGTTGTATGAATTGCATTCGCGCATCCTGGAGAATGCTTTGAAAAAGGTGAGGGAGAAAGCAGTTGCAGACACAGCAGGAACAGCAGTTGCAGATGCAACAGTTGCAGACATGAAACCAAGATTGAAAGAGATCAGCCACACACGTGCAAAAGCTAATGAGTTACTTCTGAACTGAGCAATTCAATTGAAAAGAATATAAGACTCACTTGTTAAGAAATCAAGTCTTAAGATGAGAATATGAGTTCTTATATGCAATGAGAGTTCTGAGAAGTTTCAATCTAGATAATTTGAGCTATATAAAATACTCAAATCACATTCTCTGAGAATGTATGCATTGAAAGAATCAGAGGGACAGATCTTATACAACTTAATCAATGATTCATGACTTATGAAAGCAAAGATGTAAGATCTGAGTGAATTATAATCATTCACAGCACTATCATCAGTGTTGAAAAAGAAGAGACTTATAATTGAAAAGTCTCATGAAGTAAGAGAAATCATAGACACTTATGAATCAGATAATCTTACTTATTTCAATCTTTTCACAATTATAAGAAAAGAATGAGAAGAAATGAAGAAATCAGACAAATATCATACTTCAATAAGTGATGAGACTGTAGCTGATTGTATGATAACATGCTGCAGATAGCAGATATAATATGATAAAGAGTGATCTCAAAGCAGCAGACTTACATGTGAGTCAGATTGCAGAAGAAAAAGAAATTCAGAGTTGAATTTGACTGTTTACATCAGTTCAATTGCAGAGATCACAGAGGACAAACTATCTGAAACATCCGCGGATGTGTGAAATCAAGTCATCTCAATCTCTGAGAATGCTCAGAGATCAGACAAGGTTAGTTTTAATGAGCTGTTCACTGTAGTGATCTGAGCAGGTGAAGAGAGACAGTATAATACATGAGACAGAATCACAAAAGATGAAAGCTGCTGAACCTAGTCACTGAATACTGTATCATATAGAAATCATGTAAGAGTAGTGACTAGCAGATAAAGAAAAAGCATAAGAAAAGAGATGATGAATTAATCATTAACTGTAAGAATCAGCTGTAAAAGACAAATATTATCATACACACTTCATTCATTTTCATACATCATATATTAATCTATTTTCAACATCACATCATCTGAAAAACACTAAAAACAAAGAAAATCTTAAAACTTGAGATCTGCAAGAAATTCAAGGGCTGCAAGCTGCTCTTGCAATAACACTGTACATGTCTCTGATTTCTCTACTGCTCTGTGTACAACATTAATGTCATTTATCACAAGATTGACTGAAATGTCAATATAGAAATGTGTACGCGTACATGTAGAGAAATTGAAGAAGAGTGCAGAACCTGCAAGACCAGAAGTCAGAGCAGAGAGAACAGAGGCAGAAGAAATGAAAGAGAGAGACACAGAATCAGATAAATGACAGAAGTCACTCAGGGCTGAATACTTATAATTCAGTGTGTGCATGACCTTCTCTGCAGAGAAGGAAGAAGAAGTGATGAGAGAAGCTTGAGAATGAGAGAGAGTAGTCTCAGTGATGTTGTCATCTTTGATTAAAATGACCTCTAGCACTGGAGCAACTAAGAACTATTGTTAGTGTATGAAACTGCAAAATCAGAGATGAGAACAGTTACTGAATGAACACTCACTGGCCTTAGAATTGTACACACAATTACAACACACATGAGGCTTCTCAGAAAGAGAGAGAGAGACATGAGAAAATGCAGAAAGCAGAATGCAGTGTGCAAATGACTCATTCTCACAATAACATCTCAGACAAGATGTACAAGCCTCACACCCGCGGGTGTAAAAGAGTATGATATCTGTGTTTTCATTTCTGAAAACATGAATATCTTTTGCCTGCATCACAAAGTCAGACAACAGATATCAGAGAATAGACTGATATAGATCTATCATTCTGAAGAAATTCATCAGAGTGAATATTCTTATAATATTGAACTTTACAGTTATAAAAAGCTTCTTGATGTCTGTGAATATCATGACTTCATATACAGTAAAACTCATAATGATTTCCTCTAAGAACAGAAAAATCAGTATCAGAAAGAAAAAGATGAAAAAGAAAAAGACTTATAATCTCAACACTGTTGAGAGAGAGAGTGATTCTCTGAGATGAACAGACAATTGCTTCATCATGAATATTTAAAATGAATATAATAATCAGTGTTTATGACTGAACTTCAAATGATTGTGTCATACATCATCTTCATACAATAAATCATTCTAGAGGTTGATAAGAAGAGTGAGAGTGTACACACTGAGAGATGTGATTCATTAAGTCTACACAACATCTTCTTGAAACGGGAAGAGCTGATAACAAAAGCAGAGGTGGTAAAACCAGGAGTGGCAGAAGTGAGAGTTGCAGGAACAGAGATAGCAGGAGCGGGAGAACCAGACACAGGAACAGGTGTAGAAGATTGAGAGAGAGCAGCAGAGAAAGAAACAGAAGAGGCAGAGAAGAATGTGAAAGACTCAGTCACACATGACATGAACAATTTCTTCATTATCATGTTCTTCAGGTTCTCAATCAATAATTCAATATTGAGTTCACTATCATTGATGAACACAGATCTGTCAATGTGTGAAGATTCTACATGAATAAAAACAAACATATCAGCATCTGTGTTCACATAAAATCATGCCAGAAAACATGATCAGGAACCTGCTGAGAAGAGAAATGATTGAGAGTGTATGAGAAGATGAAGAGAGTGTACAAGAAGATGAAGAAGATGTATTATCATTCATGATAATATATTGTTCTAATAATTATTAGAAGATAAACAAGTTCTGATCATGTTTCATAACATATTACACTTACTACTAATGAACTGCTTAGTATGAGCACTACAATGATGCTTGTTATGAGAACAGAGAGCCATTGTCAGAAACATATACAATGTGATAGATGAACAGATAGAAAGAGTTGAATAGAAGAAGGAATAGAAATCTTGAATGATGATGATATTCAATGATAATGAAATGAAGAAGATGATTGAAGAATGAGAAAAGTTAGTGAATGAGTGATGTAATATAGTGAAAGTTTCTTTGTGAGAATGTACACAGAATGCTAGCTGAATCAGAAATAGATTATACAATTATAAAACACTAGTGATGAGCTAATCTGCATGAAGCTAGGGTGTACAATATGATCATGTGAGTGTGATCAAATCTGATGAGAGAGAATGTGGTTCAGAAGAACATACAACTGTCAGATAATAATGCAGCCGCTTCCGAACTACTAGCATACACATACAAATGTAAAGGGGCCATAGCGGCCGCTAATTAAATTAGCATACAATATTACAATATATAAGAAGCCGGCGTACGCCTGTAATCGTACGCTGGCTTAAGCAACCTTTGAATCACACTGGAACAAATTTCTTGAAGAAGTATAAGAAAAAGAAGTTTTCAAAGCCTTTAACTATACTAAAACAAGAAGTGTAGCAAAGCTTTCAACCTTAGAATATGAATTTCAGAATGAATTATATACAGCAAATTCTTTTGAGGAAAAATGTCAAGCTTTTATGAGAATTCTCTTCCAAAACTCATCATCACATTTAGAAGAGGAGAATATGTCATTTCATAAATATATTAATGAAAATAACTGGGAATGGCCTGAGCTTACATATGATGAACTAGAGTCAGCAATATTCTCAAGTTCAATTAAAACTGCTGCAGGGCCTGATTCAATTAATCACTCAATTATTTAAAACACATATTCCTACTTGAAGAATGAATATTTTGAGCTCTTTTTCAATCTCTTAAAAAATGATTATCATTCTGAATACTGGAGAGAAGCTACTGGAGTAATTCTTGTAAAACCTAATAGAAAGACTTCAATTCCTAAGTTATATAGAGTAATATCTCTGTTGAACTGTTTGAGAAAAATTCTAGAAAAGATAATAGCTACTAGATTATCTTTTATAAGCTCTATTAGTGATTCTCTTCTATTTAATGAACAAATGAGAGATAGAAAACAATGTTCTGCAATTGATACTGTTCTCTCAGTTATTCATGATATTCAAGTAGCAAAGCATGAAGGCCTGGTCTCAACTGCAGTTTTTATTAATATAAAAGATGTATTTAATCATGTGTCAAAGTCTAAGATGATTCAAACTTTGAAGATGTTAAAACTGTCACTTTCTCTAATAAAATGAGTCAATTGTTTCATATCTAAAAGAATTATACAACTATTCTTTGATGGAAGAAAACAAGATAAAACTGAGATAAAAATAGAAGTATCACAAGGATCTTCAATCTCATCTATTTTATTTGCAATATACACTGCATATCTATTCAAGAATAGAGAGATGAAAAGAGTGAGATCTTCAAGTTATGTAGATGATATTGATCTACTCTACAGTTCAAAGACAATTAAAGAGAACTTAGAAGTGATTGAGAAAGTAGTAAAGGAAATCTTTGTTAGAGCAGATATCAATCTAATTCAATTTAATATGAATAAAACTGAGTTAATTCACTTTTTTCTCAGATTTAATGAGAAAGAACTAAGTCTAACTCTTTTGAATAAAGAGATTAAACCCAGTTTAAATGTCAAATGGCTAGGAGTATGGTTAAACTTCAAGCTGAATTTTAAATATCATATTCAACAAAGAATCATCAAGGCAGAGAGACTACTGAATAGTATAATCAGACTATCAAATACTGAGAGAGATCTATTCTTTCAGGCTATGAGACAGTTATACATAGCCTGTATTATCTCAGTAGCTGATTATGAAGTTCAAGTTTGATGAAACAATCAAGAAAACTTCACTGAACTCTTTCAAAGTCTATAAAACAGAGCTTTGAGAAGAATTCTGAGTACATTCAAGTTATCTTCTATTAAAGCAATGGAAATTGAAGCTTCAATTTCATCTTCTGCTATTTGATTTGAAAAGGCCTGTATGAACTATGCTCTGAGAGTCATGAAGATGAGCTTAAATCATATAATCAGAGAAAGAGTCTCTTCTTCATTTTCATCAGTTAACTCAGGAAATGAACTGAATTGAAATAGATTTCTTGATTGAAATGAGAATAATACTTTAAAGAAAATGCTCTCTCAACTGTATAGACTATATTCACTTATTAAGAATCAATTTTCTTCATTAAATGTTGAGAAAATTGATCATGAGAAGATATCTCTCTGAAGAGAAAAGCTGCAATCTCTCATAGACTTATAAATAAGTGAACTATCTAAAGAGAGAGAATATGAACAGCATTTGAAGAAGATCTCTATAATTAATATAAAAGACTCTATTCTGATCTACTCAGATGGCTCAAAAAATGAGAATTTGAATAGATTAGATGCAGGCATTGCTTATACTGAAGATAATATTAATTTTATCTCAGATTTCTGGAATTTAGGCTGTGAATCTGAAGTCTTTGATGCTGAACTATTTGCAATAGTGAAAGCTTTCAAACTCATTGAAATAAAATCTCATAAAAGAGGAAATGATTTGAAAGAGATATGAATATTCTCTGATAGTCAAGCTGCTTTAAAAAGACTTAGAAATAGTCAGATTCATAATGATCAAATGAATCTTGAACTGATTTTAAACTCTGTTTTGAAAATTCAAAAGAGAAGAATATTAAAACTGATAATTCATCTGCATTGAGTTCCTGCTTATATAAATATTCATGACAATGAATTGGCTGATTCAGCTGTAAAAAAGGGTTCAGAATTAAGCAGATCTATTCAAAAAACAGTGTTCTGATCTTTCATAAAGAGAAAGATAAAAGAATCTTGTTTAAACAAGTGAAATGAAAGCTGGCAGAAACAAAAGAAGAGTATACATTATTCAAGATTTGAGATAAAATCAAAGTAGAAATCTTGTTTAATTAAATGTAAAAAGAAAATATTCTCATCTATAATTCAGCTGAAACTAGAACATGGTTATTTCAAATCTTATATACAAAGATTTGATGATAGATTTGATTCAACAGAGTGCTTATTCTGCAATGTGAATGAAAATCCTGAGTATATTGTAATACATTATGCATTATACAATAGTCTCAGAGTCAGATTAAAGAAGAAGTATGATTTAAATCAATTAAATATGAGGTTTCTATTCTCAACTGAGACAGGAACTAAATACTTAATAGACTTTCTATCAGAAACTAGAGCAGCTACAAGAAAATGGCTGAATTCAGAAGTATCTGAATATGAAGAGATGGAAATTGACTAGATATAGTCTGTTAAAACAGCTATATATCATCTTTTAATAATTTTGTTTTGTTATAGTCTTTCTTTACTGTACTTGTTTTCTTCTGTTCTTTTCTCTATCTATTTAATATGTCTATCTTTAAGACTATGTTCTCTTTTCTTTTGTCATAATATTTTCAAATGATTTCAAACTATCAGAAGGTGTTAAAATACTGTAATTTGTAAACAGTTTTTGTATTCTGAGCTGGAATTTTCTGATTTTGCATATTTGAAATTGATAAATGTATAATAGTTGACTCTATAGATATAGGAAAAACCCTGAGAATTAAAGATTCTCAGGTAGATGTCATAGTCTCTGACTGCATACATCTATAATTGAAGAATAATAATAATAATAATAATATACACTACTGTATACTCTCTATCAAGACTTTCTCTCTTCAGAGTCTTGATATTATAGAGAATATAAGTCTATTTCTATATAATAATATAAATATTATCAGTGAGATGTAGAGGAACTGGTTATTTATATCTCAAAATAGAAGACTTTGTCAATGATTATATCAATATAGAGTTAATTCTCAAATTCAATAGAAATCTAGTGTTGCTGTTCTCAATCTCTTACAGAATCTATTGAATATTGAGATATTAAAACTAGATTTAATATATCTCACTGTGCAGGAATCAAAGGCTCAGTCAAATCTTGAAGCATACTGATTTTATAGTTATTATATCTGCTGATTATGTATTGAGTACAGTTACTGAGGTATCTTTTTGTACTTTTCTGTTGAGGATGGGCCAGATTGAGAGAAGTGATACAAGGGTGAGACTCAGTGTTGATGTCTAGATACACTGAGAACAGATCACAGAGGTTGCACTTCAGAAGTGACTGTTGATTATGTGCTTGATATTATCACTGAGGTATCTTTTTGTATTTTTCTGCTGGGGATGGGCCAGATTGAGAAGGGTGGTATGAGGGTGGGACTTGGCGTTGGTGTTTTGGAACATCAAAGATGGACAGGGTTTTCGCGGAGGTCGCTCCTCAGATATCTCCACAACTACAGATCGGGGATCTTCCAAAATTGAGAAGATTGGTGCATATGGCTAGGTCTCTTCACCTTACAATTTGTATGACAATTTGGCCCGGGGTTGTGGTGTGATAGGGGAGAATGGGGGATAATCCCACGCAGGAGTTCTGAACAACGTCTGGTTCACATTTGGCTGGATAACTCCACCACCACACAGGGTATGCGGTCGGCGATGGGGTCAAAATGCTCATATGATCGAGGGCTTTTCGATGGATCTATCGGCGGGTTCTTATTCGAAAAATCGAGCGAGTTCGTGGTGGAGCGGTTGAATAAGTGTTGAGTCAGTTGTCTCAAGTTCAGTTAAGACTGCTGCAGGACCTGATTTAATTAATCACTTAATTA